GTCTCATATCCTCTTTTCCTTCTGTCTCCTCAGCGTCACATCAGCTCCTGGTCGCTCCTGCGTCTAATCAGTCACTCAGCAGCCACTCGCTCTGGGCCGGGCCGGGAGCAGGCCCCGAGGGAGCAGAGGTGAGCCTGGCCTGCCCTGCTCTCCGGAGCTGGTGCGGACAGACGGTGAGCCAGGTTCGGTCTCAGCTTGACGCAGTCCCGGTTACAGTCAGCAAGACTTCGCCCCTCTGATGGTGGGGGAAGACAGTTATAACTGGGGGGAGAGAAACAGGGGCTGGTGGGCCAGGTTTGTGCTGTGAAATGAGGATTTCCTCTCTGGCGGCTTCTATTTCTTCTGCGGAGCAGGAGGCAGGGGGCCAGGCCGTCTGGGGATGGGGTGTGTTCAGGGGTGGAGACGAGGGGAGGCAGCAGGTCTCACGGTGAGAGCACAGGAGCTGAGACGTGTCGGGAGCTGCTGGGTCCTGGTCTCAGGTGGGTACCATGCGCTCACAGGGAACCTGCTGGCACTTTCGCCAGCCCGGCTCACTCGCTCAGGTGCGGGCGGGTTTGTGCCTAGGGTTGGCCAGCAGTGCCACCCGGAGACAGGGGACGTGGGAGTTTAGGGTGTTGCTAAGATGTTACTAAAATGATGGGCCTTGGGATCTAAGCGGGCTCAGGGCAGAAGGAAAGGTGACTGATGCATGGAGGGGAGGCAGAGGTCAAGGATCTCCAGGAGGCAGGACTTCCCCAAGGGAGCAGTTGAACGCGGCGAGGAAAGGTGGTTATAGTCAGGGGTGAGGGGTGGGGGAGGGGTTGATTAGTGATGTGGAAGCAGAGAATTATGGGATCTACGTTCCCTGCTTGGGGGCCCAGTTGACCCTGAAAAACAGGAAATGCAGCCCCACGGAGCCAGCCCAGCCAGTGGGCACGGCAATGGCAGAGCATGGCCACAAGATGGCAGCATCGGCACACAAGCCTGCACCTGGAGGCCTCGGTATCCATCCTGCTCTTCCTATTGCTTCATCTACAGATCAGCAGACTTCAGGTGAGATAAGGAGCTTGTGTGACACTGTTCCCCCCCCCCCCCCCCCAACCTCCCAACCAACCACCTTGATGGAACCCTGACTGGGCTCTGGAGACAGAAAGGCATTGATTTGAATCGTGGTTCTGCCACTTTCAGCTCCTTATTACAATGCACTCCTTCCCTCACCCCAACAGCCTCAAACATTCCCTGGAAAGCTGAGCGTGGCCCACACCGCCTGCCTCATCTTGTCCCCAAGCTAGCACTGCCGCTGCCCAGACCCTGGAGGAGAGGGCGAGCCCACACTGGCCAAGAGGCACCCCAGCAGAGGCATTAGCAACCCGTTTCCTCCCAGCCTTTCTGTCTTAACAGCGGAGGCCATCCCCAGTCCCTTCCAAGACCCAGTCCTAGCAGCCAGCTAACCCCAAGGGGCTGGCGCCTCTTCCATGTGAAGAAAGACCTCCCACCACCACCTCTGAGCTCTAACGGGAGCTCCTGATACCTCTGGTTCTCTCAGCAGATGTCTTGAAACGGTCACTCCTTCACATGCACACATGTTCTCCACAAGTGAAGACTGAAGTGGCTGTATACCACTCAGGACTTTGCACAGAGAAAAGCAGTCATGTGACAAATCCACACAGCACCAAACAGATGAAATCATGGTTTGGGGGCTGCCCTCACTGGACCCAAGGACTTTTGTCACCCATGCTGTCCCTTCCCTCCTCAGCCTTACCACCTGGAAATGCAGCCGGGACCTGAGAGCATCCTGGTATCCTGGGGAGAGGAACAGCCTTCTTGCAGGAAAGGAAGCAATGGGGTCCCAGCTGCCCCCTGCCCTTTGCAGACCCCCAGCCCGCAATGTCTGGACTCTGTAACCATGGCTAGTATACCCAGTCTTATTCCTCTTGCCCACTTCCCCATGTAGTCTTTGCTCTTTACCCCATAGAAGCAGCTGGCTTAGGGGGGAGACGGAGTAGATTTTCTAGATGGCCTGCTGCCCTCTCATGCTGCTGGCATTCCTGGAATCAAGGTGCATGTGGGAATCAGCCCTGTCTCCGCTGACTCGGCTCAAGTAGTGACAGGCAGCCCAGGCCCATTGGTTGTCCGGTCTCACGGTTGCTGTGATCTAGACTCTTCTATCTTAAGCCCTTGCTTTGTTTCACTGCCTCCAGCTTTAATAAACCTACTCTCCCCCGGGACTCATGCTGTGAAATGTTTCTTACACGAAGTCAAGAACGCACACATTCCAGGTAGTTCTGGGGCACACCCACCGCCTTGGTAGCGGTCTCCTGGAAACCCCCCCTCCCCTTCTAGCTCTCAGGGGCCATACCAAGCCGGGCCCAGTCTCTCTTACAGCCCCACCAAGTACATACCACCTCCAGGGACACATCACGGCTGTCACCTGGGCCTGTGCTTCAGCCCTCTGCCCCTCCTGGAGCACCCTCCCTACTCTTCTCCATGGCTACGTGCATCCTGAAGATTCAGCTCCAAGGTCACCCCTCCTGAGAAGTCCTTCTCCCTCCATCCCACCCGCCACTTTCCCGCATGCGCCGGGCCCTCAGGGGAGCCTGTGGCGGCACAGAAAACAAGGGAGGACGTTAGAGTCCCATCTGGGGGTAAGGCAGGCTCCACCACCACGTGGCCTTGGGCCAGCTACATTTTTTAAGCCTTGAACTTGCACCCTGTAACATGGGGCCAACAAGGATGTGAGGCCATAGCAAGGGTGGTTGGTGCTCTGTCCCAGCTGTCTCCCACCTGTGCCCACCTCCTGCCCCCTCCCACCCCTCCCTCCCCCCCAGAAATGCACTGACTCTTCTGGACCAAGACCCCAGCCCTTGGCGCCTTGTGTCTCTGTACTGTTTCACTCTCCACACTACTGACATCAAACGGGTGGGTTTTTCCACACCAACAAACAGTTCTCCAACTCTCAGGACACCATGATTCAACTCAATTCTGGCAGAACAAGAAAACTGGGGACCAGTGATGGTATGGGAAATATTAACCATGCTCTATTAACCACGACTGCCTGGTTCTGGTTGAAGGAAGGACTTTCTATCTCCGCTGTAAGTTGTAGGCCCCCTGGGGCCTGAGAGAACCTTGGGCCTGGGAGTCAACCTTGGAAAGGAGTTCATTTTCATTCAAGACCTGCCTATTATTGTGGGAAGATTAACAACTTAGTTGTCCAAACAAAGACGTCTCACTCCAGCCAGCATACCTACTTCCCAGGCCTGCAATTCCTACTTTCCCACGTAATCCTGGTCCTACCCTACATAAGCAGCTGGCTTATGAGGGGCGGCAGGGCAGGTTTTGTGGGTGACCTGCTGCTCTCCCATAAACGCTCACATATATGACTCAATCCTGTCTCTGCTTCATTGGCTCAAGTAGTGACAGGCAGCCTGGACCCACTGACTGTCCAGTCATAGCACCATCTACCTGGAGCCAGCACCAGGCCCCATAGGTCTCAGTGCTCGGAGTCACAAGGTTGTCCACACTTCAGACACCAGTCTCAAATATGGGGTACCCAGAATACCCAAACGGAAACCAGACAACCAGTGGGTATGGGCTGCCTATTGGCTTCTTACTGGAGCCAGTTAAGCAGAAACAGGGTTGAATCATATTTGAGGGCTGATTCCAACAATGCCGGTGCCTGGCCGGCATAGCTCAGTGGTTGAGCGTCAATCTATGAACCAGGAGGTCACGGTTCAATTCCTGGTTGGGACACATGCCTGGATTTAGGGCTTGATCCCCGAGTGAGCATGCAGGAGGCAGCCGATCAATGGTTCTCTCGCATCATTGATGTTTCTATCTCTCTCTTCCTATCTCTCTCTTCCTCTCTGAAATAAATAAAAACAGACTTTTAAAATGTAATGCTGGCAGTATATGAGAGCAGCAGGTCACCCAGGAAAATCTGCTCTGCAGCCCCCGAGAGCCAGCAGCTTATACTGGGTAGGACAAAGACGATATGGGGAAGCAGGTAAAATGAGTAAGGATGGTACAATGGTTACAGATCACAGCAGTGCAGGTGGGGCTCACTGTTGGGGAACAAGGTTGTTAATCTCTCTGTGATGGACCTCACTCCCAGGTCCCAGAGGCATGCAGCTCCCAGTCAGGTTAGACAGTGGTCAGCAACCTGCGGCTCGGGAGCCACATGCGGCTCTTTGGCCCCTTGAGTGTGGCTCTCCCACAAAATACCACGTACCCTAATTAAGCTACTAACAATGTACCTACCTATATAGTTTCAGTTTAAAAACTTTGGCTCTCAAAAGAATTTTCAGTCGTTGTACTGTTGATATTTGGCTCTGTTGACATGAGTTTGCCGACCACTGCGGCTAGAATGTCCTTTCTTCAATCAGAACAAAACAGTCACGCTTAACAGAGCATGCTTAACATTCCTCCAAACTCTAGCTAGGCGACAAAGCTGCAAGTTCCCACAGCCCCCCACCCATCTTCAGTTTAAAATATTTGCTGGAACGGCTTCTGGAGCTCAGGAGAACTCGAGGCCTGCCTGGTCTGAGGTTTAGCCAGGAAGGCCTGGCGGCTCCCGGGGAGGCCCGGTGGGGTGGGGTGGGGTGGGGTGTCCTGAGGGTGTCCCAGCTGCACCCCTGCCTCAGTGTGACTGTGATCAGGAAAATCTTCATGGCGCTGGCCTGGCACACGGGAGGCCTGGCACCCAGGAGGCCTGGCACTGACAAAAAGCCTGGGTCTGGGCCCAGCTCCAGGCTCAGGGGCAGGAGGGGCTCCCTGATGTGCGCTGGGTAGGGATCAGGGAGGAGTGGGGGCTGCAATCAGAGGGGTGCTCTGGGGCCTGGGGGGAGCGGAGGGGCCGGGGAGTCGGCGAGTCCGCGGCGGGTGGAGGAGGCACGCGCTGCAGCCCGCTGGGCAGTCCCAGGGCCCGGGGCCCGGTCCCGCCTGTGCATGGGGGATGAAAGGACGGTTTGCAAACAGGGAAGAGAGGGCGGAGGGCGGGGCGGGGCGGGGCGGGCCGGGGGCGGAGCCGGCCTGGGGCCTGAGACACCCCGAGTCGCAGTGGCCGGGCGGCGGGAGGCAGCAGCGGCGGCGCGGTGGCGACAGTAAGTGCGGCCGGAGGGCGGCGGCCCTGGCCCCCCACCAGCTCTCCGGGGTCCCGGCGCCCCCCGGGCCCCCGCGCTCGGCGCCCGCCCCCACGGGCCGGGCTGGAGGCTGCTCCCCCGGAGCCCGGGCCCCTCCCGCCCCTCCCGCCCCTCCCGCCCCTCCCGCTGCACGGGCCCCGCCAAGGCCCCTCCCCAGCGTCCCCGCGCCTCCGCCCCTCTCCGTTTGCCCCCCCTCCTCTCACTGCCCTGCGCTCCGGGTCTGTCTGCTTTCTCCTCCAGATTCCCCCCTTCCTCCCCTCCTCGTGCATTTCCTGAGACGGGACCTCACCGTCTGGATGCGTGTGGTTTTTGGGGGGAGGAGGGGAGCTGTGGGGGAGATGGACAACTCAGCCCCAAGTGAGGTGGTTGACTTGCTTCAAACTGGAGAGCCTGAGTCTGGGCGCGTCTCATCGCCGAGGCCAGTCCTCCCGTGGCCTCCAGGTGGCGCTGGTGTTTCCCAGCCACGCGTTCCCAGTGTGTTAGCCTCACCAGCCCCCTCCCCACTGCACGGATGGGAAAAGGGGCCACAGAGCGGAGACTGACCCAGCCAGAGTCAGAACCCTCCTCGCCACCAGCACCAGGTGCGGAGGGCGGTCTGCAGTGGCCCCAGGCCCCACAAGTGTCTGCTTCTTTGTACAGAGGCGGCCCCCTTGTCCGGGACACCCAGAGGCGAGCAGGACCTGGTGCAGCCAGCTCCTGTGGGTGCTGGAGAGACACACGCCAGCCAGCCAGCCAGCTCCTCCTTTCTCTTCCCGATCTAGAAAGCCAGCCGCCCGCTTTTATAAACAGTAATGAGACTGCTCACTCCAGTGCCCGGCCTGTGACCCGGATTTGAGAAAACTCCCAGCTCTTCAGAAACTCTCTCTCGGTCAAGGCTGAATGGCCCAGGACAAATAGAAACCTGGAGCTGAGCAGGGCCCCGGATGGTGTGGGCGGGCCCAATAGCTTTGTGATTGGCCCTGCACCCTCTCTTGTAGCTGGAACATCTGGAGAGAACCGCTTGCCCCTTGTCCACCGCCCTACATGGACCATAATTTTTGAACCCTAATCTAGAAAGTGAGTGTGAGTGAGTGTGCGCGGGCCAGCCCCGCCTGGTTAGTTTGTTAGTGCCGGGTGCCCTGAGAATCAGGCTGGGAAGAGGCTCTGCTCAACCTGGAGAGTTTAAAATAGTCGCGCGGACTCAAATGCCCCTGTCCCGGAGGCAGCATCCTTCCTGCCTGCCTCTCCGAGTACCTGCAGCCCCGGGCGAGGATATCCTGGCCACACAGAGGCCATTCATTCAGCAGACATGGAGGAAGGTGCCCCAGAACGCTCTGCTCGCAGCTTGCTTGCCTAAGGCCTTCGTGGAGGGGGCCTCCCTGCCCATGGTGCCTGGAGCCTGCAGACACCGGTTCACCTTGCCAAGCAGCCTGCTCTCAGGTGGCCAAGGAGTCCCCGTGGGCCTCAGACTGCCCGGCTGGGTAGCCTCACTCTTTTTTTTTTATTATTGATTTTTTATAGAGAGGAAAGGACATGGATAGAAAGCTAGAAACATCGATGAGAGAGAAACATCGACCAGCTGCCTTCTGCACACCCCCTACTGGGGATGTGCCTGCAAGCAAGGTACATGCCCTTGACCGGAATCAAACCTGGGACCTTTCAGTCCGCAGGCCGATACTCTATCCACTGAGCCAAACCAGTTCCGGCGTGTAGCCTCACTCTTGTCATTCTGTAGCTGTGTGGCCTTCCGCGAGTGGCTTAACCTCTCTGAGCCCCAGGCTTCATCGGGGAAAAGGGTCTTAGAGTAGCACCTACCTTTTTATTAGGCTGTTGTCAGGCACAAGTGCGAGACACAGACCTTCGCATGCATGGGCACCGGGTTTCATTTTAACTATTGGGAGTTCTTGTTTGTATGTGGGACAAAGCAAGTGTGTTTAAGGCCTCATTCTTTGTGTCTGAAAAAAAAGAAAGTAGACAGTCATTGCTGTGCTACCCAATTCCGAGGAGTGTTGTGAGGCTCTCGCAGTAACGGATAAGCCTGTGCGACAGGGCGTTCCCAGCTCACCGGGGAGAAAGGCCCGTTCTGCCTGGCTGGATGCTCCTGCTTAAGGCTCAGCCTCCTGTGTGAGCCGAGGCACATTCCGTTATTGATTTATTGGGGAGGGAGGAGGCTCCTGCCCAGGGGCTAGGGGTGTCGAACTCAATCAGAGAAGGGGCCAAAATCTAAAATCCAGCCTAAATCGCGGGCCGAATGGTTTACTGAACAGTCATAAACTGACAATGTTAACCAGAAATGTGAATTTAAAATGAGTGGAACAATCTTTTCCTTAACAGTGCTGTTAACCAACTCGCATGCTATCAAGGATTTGGCCCGCGGGCCTTGTGTTTGACACATGTGGACTAGGGTGTCCCGTCCTCAGCTTTAGGGAAGCATTTTCCATTTCTCAAGCTGCTGCCACATCCTAGGTGTCGTATAGAGCATAGAATAGGCTTGCGACCAACCTTGCAGTCAAATTCAGCAGCCAGCCAGGCAGGTGACAGGCCCACGATGGCAGGAAACATGCTGATTTGTCCAACAGCTGCCACCGCGGGCCAGGCTTTGCTAGCAGTTGTGGTTACACAGCCATTATAAAAAGGTGCAGGTTTTTGGAGAAAATAAACACCAAAAAAACACATACAAAAAACTCACAGAAAGAAACCTAGGCCCTAACCGGTTTGGCTCAGTGGATAGAGCGTCGGTCCCAGGTTTGATTCCAGTCAAGGGCATGTACCTTGGTTTCGGGCACATCCCCAGTAGGAGGTGTGCAGGAGGCAGCTGATCAATGAATGGTTTTCATCGATGTTTCTAACTCTCCCTCTCCCTTCCTCTCTGTAAAAAATCAATAAACTATATTAAAAAGCAAAACGAAAATCAAACCTAGGTTTGCTGATGGGGATACTGAGGCTCAGAAACATGGTGGCTTGCCCCAGGCTGTGTAGGCAATAGTTGCTGCCAACCTAGCACCTTCCCTTTGCCGCTGGAGCCACCCAGATATGGAGAGGCCGGCTCCCGGTGGGATGCGATGAGGAGAGGTGGGGTCCAGGCAGGAGATGCCAACTCAGGCTTGTTCACTGACCTGGCCTGTGGCATTCCACTTGTTGGACTTCTGTTTCCCCACAAATGGAGTGAGGGAGGGGACTCCTGTGTCTCAAACTGGCTCCTGAAGGCAGCTCTAGACACCATGGGCTTTAAAAAAAAAAAAAAAAAAAAGTTGATTAATTTGAATGGCTTTATTTATTTATAATTTTATTTTGAGCAGCTAATACATTTACATCAACATTCAAAAGACACAAAAGAGTATGAGGTGAAGTCCCCTCCTTCCCAGTGCCCATCCTCCTCAGAGGCAACACGGTTGGGAATCACTTGGTATCTCTCCGATGTGTGTGTACAGTCTCCACCCAGCCTTGCTATTTTGCACAAATAGTAGCATATTCTACACACTCTCCTGCTTCTTTCTCTCATAAAGTTGAAAAGAGTTGAGAGAGCATTCTTTGCCCGCCCAGGGTCCTAATTCCTTTTTCACGGCTGCATAGAAACGTGACTACCTTGAGACCAGGGTTACCCACAGGCCCCACTATGCCACATTGCCTTACTCCCTGCCAGCCACACTCTTGTTTGCTCTCTGTGTTTCCCTGCGTGGGGTGGGAGGTGAGGTCTGGGGTCACTTAGAGTTCTGACATCCTGTCTTTCATCCTGATCCTTAAACCTGACGCTCTCTAACCATGCTTCGGTGACTCCATACGCCCCGGGGTGGGCATATGTTCAGCTCAGTAGGATGGCTGAGCCCCCAATTTTACCTTTTTTTCTTTTTTATTAATGTCAGAGAGGACAGGAGAGAGATAGAAACATCAATAATGAGATAATCACCCCCCCCCCTCAATTGGGGATCAAACCCGCAACCTGGGCATGTGCCCTGACCAATAATTGAACGTGACCTCCCGGTTCACAGGTCAACACCCAACCCCTGAGCCACTCCAGCTGGGCACCCAGCTTTCGCTTCTGATCACCTGCCCTGTCTCTGTTTCTCTCTCTGTTTCAACAGTGGCCTTTGTCTCAGAGGATAACATCCATCAGAGTTCAAACTCCACCTACAGGACCGCCAGCAGCTCTCTGTGTTCCGAGCAGGAAGCACTGTTTGAGAAGCGGCTGGACCGCTTGCCGCCCAGCCTGCCGAGGCCCGAGGACCGCTTCAACGCTGCCTACGTCATCTTCTTCAGCCTGGGCATCGGCGGCCTCCTGCCATGGAACTTCTTCGTCACTGCCAAGGACTACTGGATATTCAAACTCCGCAACTGCTCCAGCCCAGCCCCCGGGGAGAAGCCTGAGGACTCGGACATCCTGGTAAGCGCCTCCTGGGAGGCGGGGTGCACTCTGCCTGGATGGGGGGAAAGGCAGCTTTCCTGGGTGCGCCGTACCAGGAAGGTTTGAGGCCTGCTGAGGATATATGAGTTAGGAAGCCATGCAGAGTATAGTGGAAAGAATTCAACTTAATCTTCAGACATGCTTTGTGTTGTGTATGAGGCCTCCTGCTTCACGGGACAGGAGAAGATGCCAATGTATAAGACACAGTCCCAGTCTTCAGATTTCTTATGATTTAATTTGGGAAGAAGATGAAAATGATGATTCTCTGTAGTATAGTGTGGTAAACCCAAGAATCCAGAGTCCATGCCTACAGAGCTTTGAGAGGGTTGATCTAGTTAGTAGCATTAAGTTCAGCTGTGAGTTATAGAAAATTCCAAAAGCGTAGTGTGTAAACAAGATGGAAGGTAATTTTTCTTTCCTGTTCAAGTCTGGAGGGGCCAGCTCAACCCCATGTTGTCAGGAACCTAGTTGCTTCACCATGTGTAGCATCTATGTTCAGTATTACTTCACAGTCCAGGATGGCTGTTGGAATTCAGCCATTATATCAAATAGGAAGAAGAGAAGGAGAAGCATAAGGAAACTCCTTCAAGGAACACACTTGCTTTTGGTTACATTGCACTCATTGGTCAGAATTTGGTCATGTGACCTCATAAGCTGCAAAGGAGGCTGGGAAATGTAGTATTTCTTCCCCTCAGACCCATGTGACCAGCTAAAATGGGTGGTTGTGTAGTTATGGAAGACGGGGAAATGCAGACATGCAGACTCAGGGATAAGTACCTAGTCTCATCACCAAGAGAGAATACTGTGCCCTAGGCAGTTTGGCTTAGTGGATAGAGTTTCAGTCTATGGACTGAAGGGTCCTGGGTTCAATTTCAGTGAAGGGCACACGCTCAGGTTGCAGGCTCGGTCCCCAGTAGTGGGGGGTGCAGGAGGCAGCCAATCAATGATTCTCTCTCATCACTGATGTTTCTATCTTTCCCTCTTCCTTGATCTCTGAAATTTAAATATATATATATATATATATATATATATATATATATATATATATATATATATATATTTAAAAAATAAAAAGGAGCGAATGCTGTGAATCAGAGCAGGTGGATTAGAAGAATGGGGAGGAGACATTCCAGGTGGAAGAAAAAGCCTCGGCAAGGGCAGGCTGGGAGAAAGGTCAGGCGTACATGAGGAGCAGTAAGGCATCTCATTTTGCTGTAGGAGAGAAATAAGGCTTGAGGTCTTTGCCTGGGCCTTGAATGTCAGCACGAGGAGTCTAAATTCTGTTTGGCCAGCGGCTCACTTTGTGGGGTGACTTTCCCCTTGGGCCGGAGGGGTATTAAAGAAAAGATTATTCTGCCACTTGAGGCTTTACTCAAGACTATTGCAATAAGAGAGAGATCAGGCTCAGCACCTATCACTCAAGGACAAGTGGGGATTTATAGCCAAAGAGCGGAGTGAGGGGGTCAGTGGATGGAAAATTACTAAGAGGGCCACCAGGGTGGGGCCATTCTTGCTAAAAGCAGGGTAAGGATATATATACCAAGGTATGGGCTGAGGAACTTGATCAAATATCTAGGGGGCTCAGATATCAAGGGCAGGGATTTTTTAATAAACTGACTTAGCAGGATTCTTGCTAAGACTGTCTGAGCAGGCTGGGGGGTGGGTGTGGGTGGGGGCAAGGTAGAGGCCTAGTCTGGAATTGAGCTCAGAGTTTCCGTTAATCTTTGTCAAGAGCTTCAACTGATCTAGGTCAGTGTCTGCTCTCTCTTGAATGGGGAAGCAGGGGCCTCTGAAGACAAGCCAGGCTGGGAGTTGCTAGCTGCCCCTCCTCCAGGGGGTGCCCCAGGTGAGAAGAGGGTACCCTAGCAGACCTTAGTCATATCCCTCAACTGGCCCAGGAGGTGGCTCGCCTCTCCTTCCTGAAAGCACCTTTGACCTCTCTGACCTGACCTAATCCCCAGGAACTTGCCCCAGTTTTTTTTTGGTTTTTTAAAATATATTTTATTGATTTTTTAGGGGAAGGGAGAGGGATAGAGAGTTAGAAACATCGATGAGAGAGAAACATCGACCAGCTGCCTCCTGCACACCCCCACACCGGGGATGTACCCGCAACCAATGTACATGCCCTTGACCGGAATCGAACCCGGGACCTTTCAGTCCGCAGACCGACGCTCTACCACTGAGCCAAACCTGCTTCGTTGCCAAGGTTTTATTGGACTGAATGGGACGTGGTGACTGAGGTTTCCCTATTGTCTGTTTTGATGATCCTGTCAGGGTTTCACATCAGCATCACCCAGGGAGCTTTCAAAAATCCTAACCTGGGCCCCACCTCAGAAGTTAGGATTGAATTAGGTCCCTTAATCCCGGCCCCTTGTGAGGGCCTGCTGCTGTGAACTGAGCAATTCATAGCCGCCTCCAGGGGCCAGAGCAGGGCAGAGGCGTCGGGACATAACATGGTGGTTAGAGCCTCCTCCTCCAGGGTGTTCCTTGGGGCAGACGTGCCTGGAGCTTGTTGGTGATGCAGAGTCTCAGGCCCCAGCCCGATCGGCGGAGCCAGGGGCTGCATGCTGACAGCCCCCCGGTGGCTGGCGGGCACAGGAGGGTCGGAGAAACACTGGCGAGGGAGGGCATGGCTTCTGGAAGCAGACGGCACCGGCTCCCGCTCGGCCCCAGTAGCTCTGGCCTCCCTGTGCTGCCTCGCCTTCCGGTATGGAGCAGGAGGAGAACGGCATTCTCGGGGTTGTGAGGGTTACGTAAAGTACTCGGCACACAAAGCACTTAGCAGGGGCTGGCACAGGGCCGCCGGGGCTGCGTAAACATTATTATCGTCGTTAGCGTTCGGGGGATGTAGCCCTGGTGTATCTCCAGATGTCTGGCTTACCGGGTGCTTTATGACCCACTTTTATTTACCAGTGACTCCGGCACCCAGCGTTCTGCCGGCCTCGGTAAATCAGCCAGCCGCTTAGGCTTCCTCCAGAAGGTGCCAGTCTGGCTGGGCCGGCACCAGCCCAGGGTGGCCCCCAGAACCAGCTTACCAGTGTCCCTGGCCTGTCCCTGTCCCAGCCCCTGGGGGCAGGCTGCCCCAGAGCAGGAGAGGGGGTGCGGGTGGGCCTCCGGGAACTCGCCCAGCCCCCAGTCGTGGCCGTGGCTGCACAGTAGACGCCTGCCTTGAGCTGTTCTCGCTGCAAGGCGATCCCAGCCCAGCTGCAGGCACTTAGCATTCCGGGCCCTGCTCCGGTGCTTTACTGCCTCTTTCCAAGCGCTGGCAGGTGCACACGTAGTACCTGCGGCTGCCCAGAGCTCCTGGCTCTTGGCATCGGAGATGAGAGACCTGTCACCCCTGGATTCATGGTCCGGGTTCGGGAAGCAAGCACGCTGGGTCGTTGTTGCATTTTGTGGGCCGTTTCTCTTCGCCTGATTCTCCGTTTCTGCCGCTCACCTCCCCAGCTCTCCCCTCCTCTCTTCTGGATTTCCCTGCGAGAGGCAGCGCTGGTCTGCTCTGTCACCTGAGGGCCACTCTGGGGGAAGGAGAAGCCAGAGTCAGATGGGTCTGCCTCCCGCCGCCACCTGCAGTTCACTTAGCTGTGTGTCTGGGTGTTGTTGTTTTTCTGTACTTTTACTATTTCCCAGGGATGGATACCATCGGCTGGCGAGTTTGACTCAGTAGCAGTGTTTGCACAGGGCCCCTCCTCCCAGATGATGTCATGTTCAAGCTCACCCGCCATCCCAGGCTCATTGTCTGCCGCCGGGAACAGTTTGGGGAGAGGCTTAGCCATTGCCCCTTTGTCTCTGTTCTCCGGGATAAGGACTTCGAATGAACCCACCGCAGGCGGGTGGACCCAGAGCTAAAATAAAACTAGAGCATAAATAAGAAAGCATTGACATGAAAAAACGGTGCAGGGAGCCAGGACAACCTCCTTCTCTGAGCCCCAACTCCGTGCTCACCGTGCTGGCAGGGGTATGAAATGCAGTGCCTCTAATTAACTCCTTTTTTTTTCAGACACAGAGCCAGAGCTCAGAGAGGTTTAGTAACCTGCCCCAGGTCACACAGCCAGGAAGGGCTGTAGGGAGCTTCAGGAGAATTTAGGTGGAGAGATGGTTACAAAGCTGGCCATGCTCAGAGAGGGGTGCACAGGGGGTCTGTCCTGGAGCCCAGGCCCACCCACACCCCGACTCTGCCAAACACTCTTCCTCCGTGTGGAGAGGCTGCGCTGGGTCTGCCCCCGTTCCTGCCGGGAAGCCCAGGTGCCTGGGCTCTGCCCCTGGATTCTGAATCCGGTTTCCAAGCTGCCAGCATCCCTGATCCCTTCCACCACCGTGCCCACGCCCAGGCTTGTAAGCTATCCCTGGTCCCCGGGTCTCCGCCTCTCCCGCAGGCCTGATCGGCTGCCCCAGGGCAGGGAGCGGCAGCTGGAATGCCTCCTTTCTGCCCCCGAGAGGAGAGTGACCGCACCTTTTCCTGACTTTCCCCGCCATGAGACCTCCACCACGAGGCCTCCATGGCCCTCCCCCCTCCCCAACATGTTCTTCCTGTGAACCTCCTCCTGCCGGGCTCCTCTCGGAGGGGCTGCCAGACATGGCCAGGTCGTGGGTGGGACCCACAATCCCACTTGGTGCCAGCAGGGCCAAAGCCCAGGCGTGGCAATCTACTGCTGTCCCATTCACCTCAAAACCAGAGGGGACCCCCAAAGCCCAGCCCAGGGCAGGCAGCAGATGCCTCTCTTACTCCTGGGAGCCTCCCTGCTGCTATCCTTTGAGTTAGGAGCTCCCCTCTGGACCCCCAGAGCCCACAGTACTTCCCCTTTAGGCTCCCACCACGCACCTCGTGGTGCGAGCACTGACTGCGGGGGTGCCATTGCTCCCCGGGCTTTGCCTGGATGCCCTCATCTCACCCGGGCACCCCGTGAGGCACGAAGCGTGATTATCCACGATGACAACACCCATTTCCCAACGAGGATGCCTCTGCCACCAAACGGCTC